TCATTCTGATGTCTGCTGAAAGTGTCCACGTCTCTGACCCATACACCAGTCCTTGCCATATGAAGTCTTTCAGCAGCCTTTTTTCTTAAATTGAAGTTAATGTCCCTTTTCATTAGGTCTTTTAGATTATTAATTGCTTGCCCTACTCTTTTGATTTCTTCCAAACATCTACCAACACAGCTCATATTACTGCCTTGTTGCCTATCATAATTTTTATATTAGGATTTATTTCTAATTTGAAAACAACCATTACTTTCGTCTTTACAGCATTAACTCTGAAACCACATTTTCACTTTTTTTTCACAAATCAGTAAACAAGTTTTTGTAATGCCTCTTCACTATCTGTGATAAGAGAATTATCATCGGCATAGCGTTTGATATTAGTTTACCATTAACTCTTAGTCCTTCATCATCACTCATAGCTTCACTCATTAAGAATTCTGAATATATATTATACAATATTGAAGACAGAACACAGCCTTGTCTTACTCCCTGTCTTTCTGTGAACCAATTAGTAAGTCCATTATTTATTATCACTGCAGCCTCATGATGTCAGTAATGATTCTTTAAAATTCTAATATCTCCTTCATTAATGCCTATATTTTCCAAGATATCTATAAGCTTATTGTGTTTTACCTTATCAAAAGCTTGAAGGATTAAAATAGGAGGAAGTAGAGGCTGGCTTCCTAGAATGGGGAACTGGAAGGCGATGATGAGAGAGAGAGAGAGAGAGAGAGAGAGAGAGAGAGAGAGAGAGAGAGAGAGAGAGAGAGAGAGAACGTCAACAATGTAACACTGCGGAACATAAGTACTTAAGGTTACTGAATTAGTCCCAACAAATAAAACCAAGTTTGCCAAAAAGAGTTAAACTTGGAGAGGTCGTCTGTACAACAGGAGGTCATACATCATGATATAAGTTCCATTGTCTCAGAAGGAAAGTATTGGACTAGCGCACACCACCACTGTTGACCTGTGGATGAACCATGATGACCTAGTGTCAGAGACTGATACAACCACTCCAGGATACTAAGAGTAGTTGGCACAACGCGGCAGAACACGAGAAGACACGACTGATTTAGACCACAATTGGAGATATTCTTAAAAGAACTAAGGAATTGTGTTGATAGTAGCGACCATGTAATAAGAAAACGTGCAGAGGGGGTGAAGGAAAATCCCACGAGATAAGATGCCAAGTAACAAATACATACATACATACATACATACATACATACATACATACATACATACATACATACATACATACATACATACATACATCTGTGTGTGTGTGTGTGTGTGTGTGTGTGTGTGTGTGTGTGCGTTCGGCAGGAGTTAAAGTGGAGAGTGGGATGCTGGGATGTATTCCAATTAACTAATCTCCTTTAATGACTCAAATCCCCGCTTAGGTGTCCCTAGCGGGGAGCAGCAGCTGAGGTGTCAAGTGTGATAATATAGACCTGTGAAAATGGTCAGTTTGGGTCACGGAGGACAATAGATTGGGGTCAGAGGTGATACAAGACACCTGCAGCGGGGCGAACGCACGTGTGGGTCACCTGGGCGTTGCGCGTGAAGGTGTGAAGAGGGGGAAGGTAGGTGGCGGAGGTGAGGTGCGCGGGCAGGCAGGCAAACGGGTGGAGGGAGGCAGGGAGGGGTAACGGTGGGCGGGGCATGGCGGGAGATGGAGTAGGGAGGGCGGGTGGGTATAAGGCACCAGGCGGACTGTGTGCCTCTCTGTCAGTAGTCAGCCAGACGTTCTACCCCACACACTCACACTGCCCAGGACCAGGTCTCGCTGCGCACGTGGCCAACCTGCCCATCTTAACCCCTGGCTCTGTTTTATTCTCTGCTCGTATCATCTGTGGGATACATCTGTGCTGAAGTGTTGCTGTGAACCATGAGCTGTGGCGACGCCTCCCCAGCAGACAGGTGCGTGGTGTTGGTGACACAACAGGAGCTTCATGTTGGTAGCCGTGCCGAGATATATATTCATGTTTCAGTAATTGACTACGATATGAACCGGACGCGGACCCTTTACCAATAGTGACGATATAAACGACCTCTGTTGACCGAACGTAAAAAAAATAAGAGTCGTAGTGAACTTTTATGTGTGGTGTGTGCGACTTAGATCAGTGTCAGGTTCTTGGAAGGTGTGTATCTGAATGGTGCAGGTGTGAAGGTGTACCGTACCACAGGTGAGGCTGGGGGAGACACTCACACACCCAACACGACGACGGAATGAAACAATTAAGATTAATAAGTGAGCTAATGTGTTCAGTGACCTCACCTGTACTCGCCAGGTAAGGTGGGTCAGACCCCCAACCAATCTGTGCTGAGACATCATAGGTGTAACAAGGGCGAGTCACCTGTACAGCGCTACGACAGCTTACCACTAACATCCATCTCTCCGTCATTGAGTGAGTCAGTCAATGATTTTTTTTCCTCCGTCAATGAGTGAATCAATGAAACTATTTTCCTCCGCCAGTGAGTGAGTTAGCCAGTGATTTTTTTTCCCGCCAGTGGGTCGGTAATTTTTTCCTCTGTCAGTGAGTGAGAAAGTGAGTCAGTGACACCATTTCTCTCCGTCAGTGAGTGGGTGAGTCAGGTATTCAGTGGTCGTCAAAAAAGGACTGTTCCAGAGATGTGTTTGTAAGTGTTGATGATTGTGAGTGTTGGCGTGTGTGAGTTTTGGCGTGTGTGAGTGTTGGTGAGTGTTGGTGTTGGTGTGTGTGAGTGTTGGTGTTTGTGAGTGTTGGTGTTTGTGAGTGTTGGTGTTTGTGAGTGTTGGCGTGTGTGAGTGTTGGTGTGTGTGAGTGTTGGTAAGTGTTGGTGTTTGTGGTGTTGGTGTTTGTGAGTGTTGGTGTTTGTGAGTGTTGGTGTTTGTAAGTGTTGGTGTTTGTGAGTGTTGGTGTCTCTAATTTTGGTGTTTGTAGTGTTGGTGTCTCTAATTTTGTGTTTGTGAGTGTTGGTGAGTGTTGCGTGTGTCTGTTTGTGAGTTTTGGTGTTTGTGAGTGTTGGTGTTTGTGAGTGTTGGCGTTTGTGAATGTTTGTGAGTGTTGGTGTTTGTGAGTGTTGGCGTTTGTGAATGTTGGTGTATGTGAGTTTTGGTGTTTGTGAGTTTTGGTGTTTGTGAGTGCTGGTGTTTGTCAGTGTTGGTGTTTGTGAGTGTTGGCGTGTGTGAGTGTTTGAGTGTTGGTGTGAGTTTTGGTGTTTGTTAGTGTTGGTGTTTGTGAGTGTTGGTGTTTTGTGAGTGTTGGTGTTTGTGAGTGTTGGTGTTTTGTTAGTGTTGGTGTTTGTGAGTGTTGGTGTTAGTGAGTGTTAGTGTTGGTATTTGTGAGTGTTGGTATTTGTGAGTGTTGGTGTTTGTGAGTGTTGGCGTTTGTGAATGTTGGTGTATGTGAGTTTTGGTGTTTGTGAGTTTTGGTGTTTGTGAGTGCTGGTGTTTGTCAGTGTTGGTGTTTGTGGTGTTGGCGTGTGAGTGTTTGTGAGTGTTGGTGTATGTGGTTTTGGTGTTTGTGAGTGTTGGCGTGTCTGGAGTGTTTGTGAGTGTTGGTGTATGTGAGTTTGGTGTTTGTTAGTGTTGGTGTTTGTGAGTGTTGGTGTTTAGAGTGTTGGTGTTTGCTAGTGTTGGTGTTTGTGAGTGTTGGTGTTAGTGAGTGTTAGTGTTGGTGTTTGTGAGTGTTGGTGTTTGTGGTGTTGGTGTTTGTGAGTGTTGGTGTTTGTAAGTGTTGGTGTTTGTCAGTGTTGGTGTTTGTTAGTGTTGGTGTTTGTGAGTGTTGGCGTGTGTGAGTGTTTGCAAGTGTTGGTGTTTGTTAGTGTTGGTTTTGTGTGAGTGTTGGCGTGTGTGAGTGTTTGTGAGTGTTGGTGTATGTGAGTTTGGTGTTTGTGAGTTTTGGTGTTTGTGAGTGTTGGTGCTTGTCAGTGTTGATGTTTGTTAGTGTTGGTGTTTGTGAGTGTTGGCGTGTGTGAGTGTTTGTGAGTGTTGGTGTTTGTTAGTGTTGGTGTTTGTGAGTGTTGGTGTTTGTAGTGTTGGTGTTAGTAGTGTTGGTGTTTGTTAGTGCTGTGTTTGTGAGTGTTGGTGTTAGTGAGTGTTAGTGTTGGTGTTTGTGAGTGTTGGTGAGTGTTGGTGTTAGTGAGTGTTAGTGTTGGTGTTTGTGAGTGTTAGTGTTGGTGTTTGTGAGTGTTGGTGTTTGTGAGTGTTGGTGTTTGTCAGTGTTGGTGTTTGTTAGTGTTGGTGTTGGTGTTTGTGAGTGTTAGTGTTGGTGTGTGTGAGTGTTGGTGTTTGTCAGTGTTGGTGTTTGTGAGTTGGTGTTTGTGAGTGTTGGTGTTTGTCAGTGTTGGTGTCTCTAATTGTTGGTGTTTGTGAATTAACACGTCATTCGTCTAAGTCTTAAGGCATGAAGGTAATTGACTGCCTAACTACCAAACTGACATTCCACTCATGTAGGTAAAACTTTGGCCAAAGGGCTATTGTTATCGTGTGTGTGTGTGTGTGTGTGTGGTGTGTGTGTGTGTGTGTGTGTGTGTGTGTGTGTGTGTGTGTGTAGATCGTTCTCACTCGCGGTCAAGGTCAAGGGGAAGGGGTCATGGGGAAGGGAGTGTGGGAGGGGGAGATGACTAACGTTATTCTATCTATATATCTTCACTTATTTTTAGATCATTGTAGTCTATATTGAGATGAGGAAGACATGGGTGTTGGAGGCAGGTCACTCGAACAGCTTATACCCGAACTTGGGAAATGTCAGTGCACACATACCTACACGAGTATAGATGAACGCAACACATGCATACACACAAATAACATACGCAAGTAAACGACACTTATGTACACACACACTATTAGACATGTATTTATACACATGCTACACATATACTTATATATATGTATTATCTGTGTTAAACTAAGGTGTCAAAGATATAGGTCTATGTATCAGTAAGAGATAATCATTAACATGTGTAGAGGAAGGCTGGAGGGGTGAGCTAACTTGTGTTGTGTCCTGCAGGCTGGTAGCATGATGCTATCGTGGTGTTGGTGTTGGCGGGTGGTGGCGGTGCTGGTGGCGGCGGCGGTGGCGGCGGCAATACGGGACGGCGGAGACCAGAAACGCAGTTCTCCTGCGGCAGGGGACGCCTCCATGGTGCGCCAGGCGGAACAATCACTCCTATCCATGCTGGGACTGAAGCAACGGCCCCTTGGCAAAGGGAGTAGGGAGGTGCCGCCCTACATGTGGGAGCTGTACATGCAGCAAGCAGCGCAACTGACGGGGGCCGGAGGGGGTGTGGCTGAGGACAACCTTGAAGCCCACACTAACTCACCTAACACCGTCAGGAGCTTCATACACAAAGGTACGTCTTCTCGAACATCCCTCATTACCAGTACATAAGTAACCAGTTAATGAACATAAGTAAAGTATGTGTGCTTGTGTGTGTGAGAGAGAGGTGGAGTGGAGTTCCTGGAACACCAGGCTACTCGTAATAACAAGGTTGTGGTTGTGACGTGTATCCTAATTACAGAGAGCAAGGCGGACGACCACTACCCTGCACACAAGATGAGGTTCCGCTTCAACGTAACCAACATGCCCAGTGACGAGATTCTACAGTCAGCTGAGCTGCGGCTGACGCACCTGCGGCACTCTGCAGCCCCTGACCTGCAGGAAGAAACACAGCCGCAAAAACAGAAGTCTCAAAGGCGACAAGGGAGAAGATGGGCATCCTCGGAGGCGCCTTACCTTCAGCGCATTATGGTGTATGACATACTGCGTCGGGCCACGAGGTACTCAGAACCTGCTGTACGACTGCTGGACACACATTATGTGGACGCTCGTGAGGAAGGAGTTCAAACTCTCGACGTATCTGACGCTGTACGTCGATGGGTTACGGTGCCTAACAGTAACCACGGACTCCTGGTGGAGGTGGTGCAACTCTCTAAGAGCTCACCACTGGACACATCGCACGTGAGACTCCGGAGATCAACTGACGATGATGAGTGGTACAAGCAACAGCCTCTACTGGTAGTTCACACCAACGACGGCAAGTCAAAACATAGAAACAAACGATCCAACACCAACAAACATAAAAAAGGCAAAGAAGTTTGCCGGAGACACCCTTTGTATGTAGACTTCCGGAAAGTTGGGTGGGACGACTGGATCGTGGCCCCTCCCGGGTACGAGGCCTACTTCTGCAAGGGGGACTGCCCCTTCCCTTTGCCCGACAGGTTAAACGCCACCAACCACGCTGTGGTGCAGACGCTGGTCAACTCCCGCTATCCCGACCGCGTCCCCAAGGCTTGTTGCGTCCCCACGGAGCTCTCGCCCATCTCCATGTTGTATATGGACGATGATGAGAGATTCGTGCTCAAAAACCACCAGGACATGGTGGTTGAAGGGTGCGGATGTCGGTGAGTGAGTGGCTGGCCGCTCCCATGTCTCAGTCAGAGAGGCGGCTGGCCATGACAGCAGGTCGTCTGTGTCCGTCACCTCGTCAAGCGCCCCTTAGTCCACCCGGCTATGTGATATATCATTTATTTAAATTTATATATGAAGAGGAGGCTTTGTATAACGTGAGTGAGGACCGGGATGGTGAAGACGGATGGTGCTGGCGTAGGAATCCAAATCCCAGTGGAGACATCGAGGTGACCGAGGGGAGGTGATGCCGACACCAAACCAGCGAGGCGCTCAGTAGTTTGTATAGTAGAGGGGTGGGGGGAGGGAGGAGTGGGCTGGGCTGTACAGAACAAGTGATCACTTAAGCTAGTGTCTGACTATCAATACTGGTATCTTCAGCGCGAAGGCAGAGACAATGATTAAGATACCAGGGTAAAAACAGTGCCAAATGTACAGTGTGGAGGCGAAACAGCGAGTGATCACAAGAGACTACTGGAGGTTGGTGGTGAAGGTTATATTCAGTAAGAGCACGGACCAAAGATATGTGAGCAGTGGTTCCCGGGGACGGGGTGCAGGTCCTACAAAAAACAAACAAGCAGTGGGGGGAGATAAATAATGTACACAATGTTGGAGTGTAGAGAGATATACACAGTGCTTGAGTGTGGAGTGAAGTACAGAGTGCTGAAGTGTGGATTACACAGTGATGGAGTGTAGAGTGAAGTACACAATGCTGGAGTGTAGAAAGTTATTCACAGTGCTGGAGTGTGGAGTACAGTGTTGAAGTGTAGAGAGATGTATACCCAGGGCGAGTTGTGTGTCCACTAATCATTGTGGATGATGTGAAAATATGAGTGAATGATCACACGTGAGTAACGATGGATGTTACTGAGGCCTCGTGTGTTGCAATGACTCAAGCAGGTGGCCCACTCAGAGAGAAGGACGCTCTTACAATACAGAATGAACGCTCGTGTGAGTGTCCAGCACCCAGTGTTCACTACACAGAATGAACGCTACTGTGAGTGTATATAGAGTGTTGTAACGTGTGTTAGGTCCCTGGAGTGTTGTAAGACGTGTGTAGTAGGGGACTCCTCCACTGGGCGAGGGAGGCCGGCCCCATGTCCCCCCATGTTCCTAACTTCACATGTATTTATTCTCTGTATCATACTCTACCAACAGAAAAAATTGTACAGATTTATATATATTTAAAAATTGTGAATATAGTCTAAGATATTTTGTACATACTCAAAAGACAGTGAATCAATTATTCCTGAAATAAAATTATATATAAAGAAATGGGTAGTTTAAAACACCGCTGAAGGCAAGGTGAAAGGTACAGTGACTATGACTATCTAAGTCTATCATGTATACGTACACAGGCAGACATACACACAAACAAAATGGATAGAAGAACTTCCACACCGAAAGCATACATACTCACCCCACTCTCATGCATTTATGTAAATTGTTAAACAAAAATCACATATTTATGCACACACACACACACACACACACACACACATCTGTATGAGGACATACAAACTCACCCCACAAGCTGAGGTGACTGGAATGTGTTTGTCAGTGAATGTAAATGTGTGGATGTATTTGCATTTATGTTTAGTGTATGAAATGTGTGTGTGTGTGTGTGTAGTTAAGGCCCCATCTTGTGTGGCCTCTCCCCATACACACTATGAATGAAGGAATGAATGAAATGAATACTATTGACAAGAATGCCCGCATGGGGGTACCCTCAACTACCCCTACCCCCCCACCCCTCCAATAAACAATGGCGGGGTCAGGTATCTCTTAGCACGAGGTGGACCTCCACCACACCTCTCTTCTACCCACTCTCCTCCTCCTTCTTCTTCTCCAACCATATCCCTTCCTCCATACTTCTCATCCATAATCGTCTCTCTCTCTCTCAAGCGGTACATCAGGAAGGTCAACCAAGAATCACAAAAAACTCACCTCAGATCACATTCTTAAAGCTCCCTAAGGTAACTCAAACATCCCCTCCCCCTCCCCCCTCCCCCCTCCCCCTCTCCCCATCCTCTCTTAACAGGATACGGTGGAGAAAATGGCGTCGATATTGCCCCGAGACCGTAGCGTAATTAGGCAAGTCCCTCTTATCTATGTTGCGAGGGGGGGGGTGAGGATTATCGTAAGAGGAGATGAGGTTCTGGGGTGAGGAAAGGAGTGTGTTTTAGCCTCTTCTTCCTCTTCTTCTTCTTTGTTCCTCTTCTTCTTCCTCCTCCTCTTCTTCTTCTTCTTCTTCCTCCTCTTCTTCTTCTTCTTCCTTCTCTTCTTTCTCCTCTTCTTCTCCCTTAACTACTTCTTCATCTTCTTTTTCTTCTTCTTCTTCCTCTTCCTCCTCGAGAGATGCAGAACGAACAAGAGACGAAAAGAGAGAGAGAGAGAGGGAAAGGAAAAAGAGACAGAAAGAGAGAGGAAGTGTGTGTGTGAGAGAGAGAGGACGCAGAGACGAAGACAGAGAGAGAAAGAAAGATAGGAAGAAAATCGAGAAACAGAGAAGCATCATCAAAGAATAGAGGAGGAGAAGGATGCTGTCTCATTTGTGGCCATGACAACGCTGACACGGGACTACCTCCTCACGTGGCCACCCCCTCCCGCATCTCTTGGCCACCTCTGCTTGGCCACACTCTGCCTCTGTTGGCCTTATTAATGCTTCCACAATTTCATAAACAGTTCTCTATTCCATAAAACTCTCCTCCACAACCACCACTGCCACCACATCCTCAACCACCAATTATAACAACCAGCATCACCTACCACAACCAATCTCTATCAACCATCAACACACACCACCGTCACACCAGCACCACACACCACCGTCACACCAGCACCACACACCACCGTCACACCAGCACCACACACCACCGTCACACCAGCACCACACACCACCACACCACCGTCACACCAGCACCACACACCACACCACCACACACCACCGTCACACCAGCACCACACACCACACACCATCACCACACACCGTCACACCATCACCACACCACCACACCCCCACCACCACAGTGCTAACCAGTGTCTCTCTCATCACATAACCAAGTCTTACCTGTATATATTAGTGAGAGGTTGAGGCGCTCCCTCTTAACTAGCCACACCTCACAGCTTAGAGAGAGAGAGAGAGAGAGAGAGAGAGAGAGAGAGAGAGAGAGAGACCTCTTAATTTGCATAGAGAGAGAGAAAGTCTACCATATATTTAAACCAATGATATGATTCCATTATGTTCCTGTCTACCTATCTATCTATCTGTCTATCTATCTATCTATCTATCTATCTATCTATCTGTCAGTTTGAGTAAGTTTCCTTATATATCAGCATAATAACAGATACAATTAATAATACTGGTAAACCTATTCGAATTTTTTTAGGACCAGTGCAAAGTTAGGGTTGAGGTACACAGGTAATGTACAAGAATTATACTTGAAGGTACTACTAACAGTGAAGGCTTTGTACATCAGTGGTGCAAAAATTCCTGCGTGCCTGCATCATACTTGACAGGGGTAGTACGACAGTTCTACTTCTCTCCCTTTAACCTCTTAGACCTTAATTTCAGACCACACAATTGTACATGTCTTTTGCACCACGTTATTCTACATTCCTTAGATCCTACATACCCTAAACTTCAAGCTCTTCTCAGATTACATCCCTTAAACCAGACTCCTCAGGGCTCCCCTCCCTTCGCCTGACTCTTCTACCCTCCCCCCCACAGACCAAGGTCTTTAATTAGTATGGCAGTGATACCCTGGACCAGGTGTGCTGCAGTCCCCCACCGCACCCACTCCTCCCTTCCTTACTAGAATGTTTCGCTCCTTCTCGTTAGTTTCGTTGGAGACAGTGACGAAACTATGTGAGGGTGAGCAATGATTAGTGGAGAGACCTTCGCAGAGGGCATGACTGAACCAAGGGGCCGCTGCTAGTGTCCAGCGCCTCCACCTCCCTCCTAAGTGGCCCTCCTTCTGGCCCTCAACCTTCCTTCTGAGTGGCCTTCCTTCTGGCCCTCCATCTCCATCCTAAGTGGCCCTCTTTCTGCCCTTTACCTCACTCCTGAATGGCCATCCTTCTGCCCCTTTACTTCTCCCCCGACCCCTCCTGAGTGGGCCCTCTTTTTGCATTCCACTCCTCCCCGTGACTTCTACCCCCAAAGAAACCATCTCCAGCACCTCGAAGACCTACTCAATGGGCCACTTCCTCCACTCGTCCATGTTCCTCCCAGGTGGTCAGTCACTTCTTACGACCGTCACGTCCCTTCCATTCACACCCGTCTCTCGTCTCCGCTTTCCCACCTGCTGTCTCTTCCTCATGCTTCAACATCCCTTTCATTAATTTCTACTCTTCCACCATTTCTCTTCTAAGAGTTCCTTTCCCATGAGCCCCCATCAACCCAGCCATTCCGTCCTATCAATGGTCTCTACTTCTGTTCCAAATGCCTGTTCCCCTGGTCTCAAAGTCCAGTTTCTTTGGCTCTCCTGTTAACATAAGTGTTCTTAAGTGTTCCTCCAATGTTTTGTGTAATATATTGTTCTTTGAGTTACAGGAGTAAAGAAGTACAATGAACATGATAAACAAGATCGTTTACATCTTGAGGAATTTCTGATATTTAGGTTACTTTTGTGAGGATGAAAACATACATTAGGCAAAAACCGAGAAAAGGGAGATGAATTGAACGTCAAGATAAACAATCAACATATAAAAATAACCTCAAACTCGCATGTACTGGAGTCTGCGGGAGGTGTTAGTAGTGGGAGATAAATTTTCTGAGAAGGTGGTGCCAGGTTGTAGGAAAGACGAGTAGGTGTGGAATGTGTGGTACTAATGAACAAGTTGTTGACGTTATATGTGGCCAGGAAGGATGGTGGTGAGCGTGTTATGTAATGTATGGATGTTGGTGGATTAATGCATGGCACTAACCACTGAAACTCATGTGTGCAATGTGTGGTGGAAGGGGGGGGGGGCAGGAGGACACCCAGAGTGTGATAAACAGGCGGAAGTACTGTTGTGTGACTGGTAACGACTAGATGATGGAGGTGTTGATACCAAACATCTGAAAAAGGCTATGAACGGGTCATCATCCTTTGTACAGAAGAGATAAAGCGAACAATTAGCCTTCTATCTGTTTATTAATGACGAACCTCTGAAGGAAGATCCGCCTTCAACACCTGGCTACTCTCTTTGGTTATAAGATGACGTTTTTATAACAGGTTCACTACACACGCCAACAACAGGACAGTAGCCGCTGGGTGATGACGGCGATAATGTAACACAAACAGGAAGCGTCTGGCTCTCACAGCACAGACCAGGAGGTCACCCCCACCTACATGACGACTAACACGAATGTGACAAAATATTCCGGACAACCCAACATTCTTCTTATGGGACGCGAGAGAGATTAGAATAGAAAAGGCTTCCATAAGAATCATACACAGGTCTAACGTGTTGGAAATGCCATCTATATCATCATCTCAGAGGTCGTTCTGGTAAAGTCTCAGGACAGATATTATTCTTATGACGTCTCCAGCAACACGAATTATTTCCCCTTAAGGCCCAAGACCAGACGCTTCCTAGTTCGAGGATCTTCCCAGCAAGACTGAAACATTTACCTACGTGTTGAAGGCAAGACTGTAAGAGTCCCTTACATGGCTCTTCTTCGTAACTTTCAGAACCAACTCTCGTGGACGATTTTTTCTTTCGATGAAATAATAAAGGATAAAAGATCGTTTATGTTCTCTCTAAATCGTGGGCGTCTTTGTTCCTCCCTCCCATGGACGTCACTCTTCCTCCCCCCTGTGGGCGTCACTCTTCCACCCCCCCCCCACACAATGGGCGTGACGTGATGGGTGGGAAGATGTACAGACTACGAGGGGCGAGTATCTGGGAGTTCCCACTTACCCAGATACCATCTTGGTCTCTTCCTGTCAACAACCCCAGCTGGAGCACCTGTCTCTTCCCAGGGTGCACTTCTCCCGCACCTCCCCTCTCTTCTCCAGGTGAATTAATCCCCAACCTGTCTCCTTCCCCAGGTAACTTCCCAACCTGTCTCCTTCCTCGGGTCATTTACCTCACCTGTTACATGAAAACACAGGTTCCCAAGGTGCTGTGAGAGGTACTGGTGCTTCTCTCTCTCTCTCTCTCTCTGCAGTTATTGGCTGGGTTAATAGTGGTATCGTACAATGGGTTAGAGCAATTAATAAACACTATGTAATAGTTTCTTAAGACATTAGATTACAGTACGTTTAGACACTGGGTTATAGTGGCTT